AGAGGACACAGGAGCTCCGTCCCGTTGCCTCTCTCCTACCTCCTCAAACGAAAAAACTCAGCCGCCGCTGACACCCGCTGTGGAGCCGAACATCCGCCCGACATGGACCGCTTCTTGGAGCGCCAGCCGCGGGCACGAAGGTCTCTCACGGCTGCCCATTCTAAAAAAAAAAAGATACAAGATGTTTGTTAAACCATTTAGTAGTACAGTAAACTCTCAGTTATCCAGTATTCAACTAACCAAAACTCTTATCTAGCCAGAAAAAAAATCCACTGTTTTGCTTATCTGCGGCATGTATTATCCTGGAAATGATCGTATGTCTATTTGTCTTAATTTGGCTTAAGTGTGCGTGTGTCTATTTGTCTTAATATGCTTTTGAATACTGCATTTCAATATTAATATGAAGTCAATACAGAGTTAATGTTATAATATAGTATAGTATGGGGTATGGCATTAGTTAGGCCTACTTTTAATAGTAACTCTCAAGCAACCAGAAACTACATTTATCCAGGATCTACCAATCCCTGTGGATGCCGGATAAGGGGGAGTTTACTGTATATGCAAAAAATTGGCTTGTAGGGGTAAAATTAAAAGCTCTTTCTTTAACTCAGTAATGTTTAATGTAAGTAATTTAGCCTTTGTAAAATATGTGCCAATCTTGTTTTTTGATCTAAGTTGTAATACAAGCCTTTGTTGCACTGTAGTTTGTTTCACAAAGGTGCCTATGGTGTTCCTGATGGTGTCAGTATGGTACTGATTGTATATCTGTGGACAATTCTTTAGTGATGTCAGTACAGTACTGATTGTATATATGTGAACATGTTTCTGGTGGTGTCCTTACGGTACTGATTGTATATATGTGAACATGTTTCTGGTGGTGTCAGTATGGTACTGATTGTATATCTGTGAACATGTTTCTGGTGGTGTCAAAACAGTACTGATTTTATATCTGCGGATATTGTTCTGACACTTGTGACTTCTAATGTGATAAAAAAATATTAATTATGTATATTATATTACAATTAATTTATATTAGTATAATTTATTAATTTATATTATATCATAAATATGCTATTCCAAAAAAGCATAGTATGGGTCTTCTCTATGACCTAAACGGACACATGTAAGCCAGATCTTACTTTGCCATCCCTGTAGAATTGCTTCATTGTGATTATTCATCACATTCACATGTTATAATTGCCCATGGAAATTGTATGGCAAAAAGTTGTTAAACATTTATTAGAGGCTGGGAGACAGACTTTAGTGCATCACCTGAGTGTAAGTTTGTAAGACACAAATTACATTTGACAGGGTTTCTAACATTACCATACTTTACTAGACAAAAGTATTTTTATTTCTGTCTGTGTTGGCGTTGGAGATTTACCTTCACCTTTACTGTCTAGTAACCTTAAAGAGAGCTTAGATTGTACACTTCTTATGTTATGGGGCGCTCTGAAAGGCGTAAGGTGCCCATACACTTTACAACCCTCGCAAGACATTTGTCTTGCGAGGGTCGTAAAGTAATTTAAAAAACGTACGATCTGCCCATCTTGGACAAGCAGATCGTACTTGCGATTATCGCAAGCCCGACCCCCTGAGGGGCGGGCTTCCGATGAATGCAATGAGGGGCGGGCTTCCGATGACTGCAAACGGGCAGCACACCGGCCCGTTCGGCAGATCCCCTTTAATTGCCAGACTTCATTGTCATCATATTCTGTGTTCCAGCTCCACAGTGTGAATACAACTATCAAATAACAGAGTCCTGTAGTTAGGAGGAAAGTAAACTGCTACAGGGCTCTGTTATTTAATTCAGTAGCTGAGAGATAGCGTGTGTTATCATCATAAGGAAGAACAGTTGAAAGGGCAGCACCTGTCAGACCTGAAATGACCTGTTAGCTTGTAGAAAAGAAACTAGTTGAGATAAGTATTAAAAGAGTAGTCTACTGAGTTGTAGGAATGTTATAGCCAGCTTGCAAAAATAAAAGACAATACAGAAATGAATACAATGCAACCTTGGCAACAATTGCTGAGAAGTAAAATTGACATGTGAGAGAGAAAAAAAGCCAACAAAAATGCTTAAAAAAGCTGTTGCAAACTATTTTGTAATACTCATGTAATGTGCTGCTCAGTAAACACTCCAAACACGTCTAACGAAATTATTATTATTATTATTATTTTTTAATAGCCCTTAAACTTTCATTATAAACTACTGAAATTCAGTTATGTTTTCTCAGCTTTAAAATATTTATTCAAACCTAAAGACTAGCAATGTGCACATTAGTGGAATAAGCATTGTTCTTGCCCCCAGCCCCCTTCAAACTGTATATGCCTGGAGAAGACAGAATAGTTTGAGTGCTCCATTTCTGCCTTGTTACATGTGGAGCAATGCATAAAACTCCTTTATGTTTTCAGGAAAAGGACTGACAATGACAAAAACATTAAAAGAATGGAGCAAGAGAAGGTGGGTTTAGGCCTGCCATCCCTCTTGAGGAGCACTCCAAGCAAAGGACAACAGAGATGCAGCAGCATCTTTTGAAGGGCCAGCAGCTGGTTCTTTTTGCAAGCTGGGCCTCAGTGAGCACTACAAAGATCATTTGTTAGGCTGCACTTGCTTGACGAGAGATCAGGGAACATTGGGCGTCAGCTGCAAGTTTTTGGGGAATTTTGGGAAATTATGTGGTGAATGGGCCAGATATGTCTGTGATTCCTCTACTTTGCCAGTATAATCTTTCTTCTCCCAGGCACTCAACATCCAGTTGTATGTTTGTACATGTACTTATTTAATTATAGTCAGGACACTGGAGAAAGAGCAGACAACAGCAAAAATTAAACTTAGAATCCTATGATCATAGAATGCCCATCTTTCCACACATACAGTCCATATAAAGAAGACAAGTAAGCCTGAAGGGAAAGGTAGAGATGAGGCGACATGGAGGTTCCACCTCCTTCCTTCCCTCCTTCACCTTTTCCTCCTTTTATGTGATTATGGCATGACAAGAGGCACTGGGGAGATGTTTTCTTTTTCAGTGGCTCATCATCTAGGACTTCTGCATCATTTTGTCCCCTTTTCGTTAAATAGGTGACTAAATAGGTGGACTCGCAGAGATTAATGACACAATCCCTCTTGTGTTCCTCCTAGAGAGCACATGCGTTCTTGGCCTTGGCAGTCCAACATTAACATATTCCTACCATCCCTTTATTACAATTATTTTCATTATATACTGTACATATTTACCATTTTAATGTTTTAAATGTTTAAAGAACCCACATATTAAAGTTGTGTTCTGTTTGTGGGAGCATGCAGAGGAATGTGACCCCTGTAGTGTGTTCCATGGCACATGCTAAGGATATGGATATGAAAACAGAATAGTGGCCCTGACTCACACATGGTGAGCCAGAATTGGTAAAAACAGGCCCCTTCATCCAGTTTAGGGCCTTAGATAAATATATTTCTACTCGCCATAACATTTGTTTTGTTCTTGAATGGGCCATCACAGCTGTCTGAGGTGCTAATCACTGCAGTCCAAAAGTTTTATAATCTAAAAAAAATTAGAGAAATGTCCTCAGTTCTTTAAAAAGTAGCTAAGGTCTTGATAATTGAAGTTATCTATCAATTAGTTGTTGCAGACATATATGGTTGATTAAAATAATTTTTGGATGTACAGATTTGTAAATACAGGCAGGGCACAATGGACACAAGCCCTAAACTAATCTCTCCCTATGAAGTTTGTAAACAGCATTCCCTATGCTTTTCCTATGACCGGTAAAGAACATTGTCAATATTGCTACGGTGGTTTCATCTATTTCATAATGAGAGAGCTGGCTTACTCAAATGCCCCCTTAAGCCAGCTGACCTTAGTTCAAAGACCAGGCAGTGCAATATGGTTCCAAAGAATTTGTTCTGGTGAATATCGACATTAATTTGCAAGGCCCACAATTTTCAAACCTGTCAAATCCACCACGAACCCATGGTAGCATTGAACTCAAACCTCATCTCTGGCAAAGGGCCCAGAGAACTAGCGGTTCATTTCTATGCACAACAGGAAATGGAAAAGAGACCCCAGAAAAGAAAGACTGCAAAGAGAAACAGGAAACAAATGTTTAAGTTCAGGTTCTCAGGTATGCCCTGAGTGTTTTGAGAACATTGTACCTACAGAAATATATATATATCTTCAGTATCCAGACTTATTTTGCTACTATGATATCTATGGAAAAAATTTAATCTTTTTTCTAGTTGTGAGTAATTAAATCACTTTAGTAAGAGGTCAGGTACAGCAGCGCTGAAAAAAAAATCTCTTTTGACTCCTTCAGTGGCAGCAGCTCCATGATGATTTTGAAGTTCCATTTTTTACATTAGCTTAATGTTTAAAGTTTTTGTTTACCCTTATCACTTTTTTTGCTCTTTTTGTCCTGCTGGTGTGGTTTCCTTTCCCTTCCTGGAGGTGCAAAAATATATGGTAGGGGATCTCAACGAAGCAGGCAGGAATTTTTGTATTGGACATTTGTCACTAGAACATTTGTCCTTATTAGACGTTTTCCCCTCACCTCTTACTCTGGTGACAATTTTAACATTTTTGATATCTCCTCACTTCTGTCTCATTGATAGAGGTCTTCAAGACAAATAGATTGGTGAGTCCTCCAAGCAGCAACACAGACAGCAATACAAACCTAAAAGGGTATCTAATCCTTTCCTACTCTATCCAAATAAAAAAGTTTTGCCTTTGCATAACATAACATAATCAAATATTCCCTGAGCAGCACACATTGTTACATTATACCCAAACTGTTGATTGGGGTTGATTTGAGGACCATAAATTATTATGTCCTAATAGATAATTGTCAACTAATTTTGTATTTCAAACATTCAGTTAATGTCTGGAAAAACAAAGATGATAAAAAATAGCTCAAGGTTATGTTAAAAAGTACAAAAATAAAGCCACACTTTCATATTAGTATTAACTTTATTACATATCTTTTCTTTGTCTAGAGCAATCCACAAGATTTGCCACATGAAGAGAAAAAGCAACTACCTGGGGCCGTGAAACTTCCCGGACCTGCAGTTAATCTATCAGAAATTCAAAATATTAGAAGTGAACTTAAATTTGTACCAAGAGCAGAGGAGCAGTAGTGTTCACTGAAAAGGTGAGATTAATAGTGCATTTGAAGTTCACATATTTATGAAATGTAAAAAGAACATTCAAGCTTTGGAGAGGGTCCAGAGGCAGAAAACTAAATTTATAAAAGGGATGGAAAATCTTACAATAAAAGATTAGAGACATTGAATATCTACAGTTTGTAAAAAAAGACATTTGGGAAGTGACCTAATTTAGTTGAATATATGCAAGGTCAGTAAAAAGATTTTGCAAATAAACCTTTTTATTCCAAGGACTGTAAAAAGGGCAAGGGAACATCAATCTCATGTGGAAATGTGCTTTCTACAATACCAGTGGTTAAAATGTAACTCTTATTTTTTGGGGGGAGTCTTGGATAGGATAGAGAGGGGATCAGAGTCTTGTCATATTTTCATTGCTATGTTGCCATCGGTGAGCTTTCCTTGTACGTTCTGTGTCCAAAGACACAACAGTAAGTAAATAGACTTTGTCCCAAAATAAGGCAAAATTTGACCTGAAAAATGTTCCCATTGGTAGTTTACCCCTCTATTTCTCTTCTGTTGACAGTTGTAAAATTCTGGATTCACTCTCACCAAAACGAAAGGGTAAATGTTCCTAATGGGAACACATGCAGCAGTAAAACCTGAAAAGGCCCTAACCATTCCCCATTCTATCCAAAACTAGAAAAAAGGTTTTGACTTCAAATCTGGTCTAAACTGTGGAATGATTTACTGCATGAGGTAGCAATAGCAAAAACAATATTGGACTTTAAAGTAGGACTGATTGTAGTCCAAAAGCTTCTTCCCCCGGCTTCTCTAGCCAGAGCATGACAGCTGAGGAACCAGAAGTGATGCAATCAATGTTGCTTCTGGCCCCATTCAGTGGGGAGGAGAGGTGAACGAATGTTCACTGGTCTCCTTTAGTGATGAACCGAACACCCCCGTGTTCGGTTCGAATATGGAACATGGGAAAAGTTAATATTCGAACTCAAACTCAATGCAAGTCTATAGGGGTAGAACATTGAAAATCAAATGTCCTCATTTTGAAGCCTTATATGCAATTTATTGGCCATAGAAAGTGTATGAGGATCTGGGTACTGCTCTGGGGGACATAAATCAATGAAACATTTTTTTTTTAAATACTGTTTTTAAAGGAGCAGTGATTTTAACATTACTTAAAGGGTAACAATAAAAATTAAACATTCCTTTAAATATCCCCTTGAACTGCCTGTAAAGTTGTACTTCTATATGATGTAAAGAACCTGCCGCAGCAAAAATGAAAAATAAATTATTTTTTTTAAAACTGTGTAGTACCCCCTCCCAAACAATACCAGACCCTTTAAGTCTGGTTGTAATGTTAAGAAGGACCCCATTAAAAAAAAGCAAGGGGTTCCCCCCAAAAGTCATACTAGACCCGTAAGGTCTGGTAGGAGTATTTAAGAGGAACCCCATGTAAAAAAAAAAAAAAAAAAGTGTGTGGGGTTCCCCCTCAAAGTCATACCAGACCCTTAAGTCATACCAGGCCCTTAAGGTCTGGTAGGAGTTTTAAGGTGGTACCCCCACCCCCAAAAATGGGAGGAGAAAAATGTGAGGTCCCCCCTAAAATTCCATACCAGACCCTTAATCCGAGCATAGGCCTGGCAGGGCTGGAAAGGGGGGAGGGGGGGCGAGCGAGCGCCCCCCTTCCATACCAGACAACATGCCCTCAGCACTGGGAGTGTGCTTTTACAGGGTTGCTCCTGGAAAAGCACCTTGTCCCCGTGCCGATGGGGACAGGGACCTCTTCCCCACAAGCCCCGGGGCGTTGGTTGTGGGGGTGTGGACAGGAGGCTTATTCACATCAGGGTACCCCTTTAATAAAGGGGCAGCCAGATGCACCCCCCTTGTGAATGAGTACCCATTCACTAAAGGGTTAAATAAAATTGAAATGTTTTTTAAAAAACAGACTTTTGGAGAAAATCCTTTCATTGACAAAAAACAACAGCACACCCCCCCCCCCCCCAAAAAAAAAAATGGACAAAATAAAAAAATAAAACAATAAAAAAATTAATTGAAATCCTTTTTTTTTAAATGACGGACGCCATACCCCTCCATTGACCGCAAAATTACATTTTGACAGATACTGGTAAAACATAAACAATTGGGCGGAGCTAGCGGTGACAGCTAGCTCCGCCCAACTGTGTTCAGTTTTATGTCATCTGACAGGTGAGCCATGATTGGGCACGGTTATCTGTGCCCTGACTGGGGTCAGGTGCAAGCCTTTAGCCAATTAGGGCTTCACAAGGCGCATTGCGGGCAAACACACAAACTAGCGATGTTCGAGTCGAACGCATACAGCCCATCCCTAGTCTCCTTCCCTGCTTCCCAGAAATACCTGTGATGCTGGTCCTGCACCCACAGAAGCCACAGAGGAGCCCAAAAAATAAGGCGGGGGAAGCACTACACCGGTCCCTGGAACTGATTTGCAGTGCAGTTTGCACCTTTGCATCTTCCTCTTTAATACACAGATTTTTAATTCCACAAATTTACATCCATGTTGCATTTGCCAAAGTTTTAAAAAGGTCAAAGTGATTATGGCCAGCTCATTTTGTAAATACAATTGAAGTGTATCTATCCAAAACTAAAAAGTTTGGCTATAGAGTGGGGTAGGATTAGAATGCAGATTTTTTTTCTCACTTCCTGTCTTGTAAAAATGTTGTCCCCAAAACAGAAACTAAGGGGAAATCTTTCTAACAGAGCTCTGGATGGCAGTAACACCTAACAAGGATTCTAACCTTCCACCCCATTTAATTTATTATTTAAAGGTATGCATATCACTATAATATAAACATATACAGTATATATTTCTGGAGCACTTTAAATGGATGCCAGAGGGATAACCTGGAATACTTGGTGGAGCACCATCGGTTTTTTCTTCTCATCTATGTGTGCCACTTCCTACAAAGTCACGTGTATTAGCTTGTTTGTGTGCATTCCAACATAGGTAGCTGTTAATCCATTTTTGAGAAATAATGCAGTAATTAAGTTTTTCCAAGTTATAAAACAGGTGTGCACCTAGCGTGACGGTGACAAGAAGACAGCCCTGTTATCTAAGTGATGGTACGTAACTGGCAGACACTCCTCTCTTCAGTGCCAGACTTGAAGCTTGATAGCTGGTGCCAGGTGGCCAAAAGAGACTCACTACATGTCGACACCGCATCTGTGATATCCCTGGAAACTGTGGCAGAGAGTTTCATTCTTACTTCTATCAGAAATTTTCAGAAATGAAACAAAACATTGAGCTGTTGTTGCATATGGCAATAAAAGTAGTTTCTAACAAAATAGCATACATATTATTGAGATATGTGCAACTAGGTAAAAGTTATACAGTGTACATCTAACATCAGATTCAGCTTGGTGTCTGAAAAGCAGATTTTTCTGTTCTGTCATGATAACCGATCTTTTTGTTAAGTTTCATATACCTCAGATATGATAAATAAATAGGGTTTTGTAAAATTGGTCTCACTGAAAAACAATATGTAAAAATGTTTTTGTTTTTTGCTACCCCTAATATTGTGCCTAGACCTCAGTCTACACCCCCTTCTGTATATCTGGCCTGAGCAGACACAAGTGAAACCATGTAAAAGAGGTGAAAGGGCAATGCACTGGACAGTTATTGCTGGACTCCTACAATAGCCTCTTCCTGAAAAGTTATACCCACCTATTATTTTCCCGGGGCAGTTTAGAAAATGAACGCTTACATCTAATTAATTGCTATTACCAATACCCACAAATTCCATTTTTTTTCCAGTTTTCAAGATCTTCATCAATGAGCCATAATTTGTGAAATTCCAGATCTTCTAGTACCTTCTGGGGTTCTGGCATTAGTTGAATGACATGGGTAGGACTGAAGCCCAAACTTTTTTTTTTTAGTCTTGGATAGAGTAGAAAGTGATTAGAACACATGTCAGGTTTTTATTGCTGCATCCCCATTAGAGAGATTCACCCTCACTATTTGTCCTGGTGACCATTATCACTTAAAGTGAAAATTAAAATACCAAATTTTGGGTTGTCACCAGAAGAGGAATAGATAGGAACTCTTCCAGTGGGGAAGTTGGTTCTGGCAACCTTGATTACCATCACTTTGGAGGGATTTTCTCTCACCTCCCGTTGTGGCTATTGGATGGGAAGTGAAGGGAAATCTCCCTAATAGGACACAGATGGCAAAAAAGCTGACAGGGGTTATAACCCTCTCTTATTCTATCCAAAACTTTAAAAAAAAGTTTGGGCTTTAGTTTTACTTTAATCTCAATTTAGGCAGAAGTGCAGCCTGAGCCAAAGATCCTGCAGTGCTCCAGAGGGACCAGTATGAAATCTAATTAATTCTTGGTGCCGGTCCTTAACTACCTCCCGACTGGCCGTTGTGTATACACTGGAAACTGGGCGTGTATACACGTCCTGTTAGTCCCGCCCACTCATGCGCGGCGCGCTCGAGTGGGAATGACACATAATTTAAAAACCGGCAGCGATGCCTGTTAACATACAAGCGATCCGCCGGCTGTAGAGCCGTCGGATCGCTTGTATGGGGTCCCGGTATGTGCGCCCCTCCCTCCGCGGCTCCCCCCCCTCCCGCTGATCCCAGGCTCCGTTGTGCCCGGTGCGAGCCCGGGACCAGCATAGTGGCTCTCTGACAGGGGATTAGAGGGAGGCCGGTTCATGATCTCCCTCCGGTCCCCTCTCTGCTGTCAGAATTCGGAAGTGGTGTATATTACATCACTTCTGCATTCTCGTGTCACTCTCCAGTTTTAGATGCTTTTAGAGAAGCTGATGAAGCAGATCTCTGCTTCATCAGCTTCTTCAGGGGGGTCCTAGGTGACATATAGGGGTTTCTTAGCCCCCTCTGTGATAGCAATAAAGTTAAGTGAAAAAAAATTAAAGTTTCCCCAAATTTTTTTTATGTTACACATACAAAAGAATATTTTTTTTAAAAGTCCCCACCCCTACATACACGCATGTGAACATGCGTCAGGTGCGCATACCTGCGAAAACGACGATTGCGCCCATTACGCCGCACATGTTACATATCGCCACAAACGTTGCAGTGAAAGCAATAATTTTAGGGCTATTACTGATAAAACTAAACTGATGAGCTGTAAAAGCTTTTAAAGTGTCACCTATGGCCAATTTTGGGTAGTTTGCTAGTTTTTCGCGAGTGCGCGCAATTTTTAAGCTTGACATGTTTGGTGTCTATTTACCCGACGTGACCCCGTCTTTTTTATTTTACCAACAAAGTGGGTAATATTAGTTGTTTTATAACATAATGTAAAAAAAAATATTTTTTTCAAAATTTTCAGTAATTTCTCCTGAATATAGTAAAAAATAAAACCCCGAGTGGTGATTAAATACCACCAAAAGAAATCTCTATCTGTCCCCAAAAAATGGTATAAAATTATTTTCAGTACAGCGTTGCATGACAGAATAAATGTCAGTCAAAGTACCGCATCGCTGAATACTGAAAAATGGCCTGGCCAGGAAGGGGGTCTAAACCCCTGGTCTTCAAGAGGTTAAGCAATGTTGTTACCTTTGAAACACCTTTCATTGCCTTTACATTTTACATTTACAGTATCATTCTGTTGCACAATTTAAGTCATATTCTTCAATGTTTTTTCTTAGTAAAGGGACCTTATTATTGCCTAATTTTTCCCCTACACTAATGTCTTACTTGCCCTCTCTCTTCCCAACTCAGTTTAAACATTCATCCAAACATCCCATAATCCACAATTACAGCAGATACCCTTACATTCAGGTACAAAGTGCATTTAGCTTATATATTGCACCCTAATGAAAAGTCAGCCCAGTTCTCTAGAAACCCAAATCCTTGTATCCTACATTCAGATGTAAGTCATTTCCAACCCTCACTGCATTATTTTGTTTCCCATGCCATTTCCAATATTTAAAAAATATATATTTTGGAGGTTTTGCTGAACACTGATGACAAGAGTTATAGGAGATGAATACATAAATAAAAGAATACATTAATAAAAGACAACATTTTACTGATGTCCTGTTTTTAATGGTGTTGTTAAGGATGCCCACATTTTCAATTATCTGGTATGATGATGAACAAAAAGTATTTTAGGGTTATAAATACCATCAAAAGGTATAGATAGGTCTCCATGCTCTTAAAAATAGCTAATAAGTAATACATTTCAAGATCAAGGAACCAATTGATTTCGATTGATTTATGCCTTCAGCCTGTCATATGGTCATTGGCCAAATGGTTAAAAATCTTTTAAAATTCTCAGATGGTTAATAAAATAGGATCTTTGTTATTATAAATGGGTTTTACAGGAGTAACAAACCGAGGGACTTGCTTACAAATGTGTCAAAAAGTAGAACTGTCTATAATGCCCCATGGCCGCCAGCCATCTTCTTTTCTTGATTTTCTACTACTGTAAATATATCATCTAATTGGTTGCTACTGGCAACAAAAGCAGTGTTTAACATTAATATTAATAAACAAAGAAAAACTCCCCAAAAGAGGAGATACCACCACTCATCCAAATATGCAATAATGTCAATGAAATTTAATTTATTAAGCTAACTTTGTCTTTTAAAATTTATGACACATGTATCAAAACACAAACAAACATTTACATTGGAAAGCACTCGGCTAAGTGAAGTTGCATTTAGAAAGAACAATAAAGTGATCGGTGCACCTCTGAAATGAATTTCTTTTTTTTTGGCATATGAATTTCCCCAAGAGAAGTATCCTCCAAGGTAGAGAGATTTCAGTCCCGCAAGTAATAATACAACGGCAAAAGCGTATTTGGAAAATAATTCACTTTTTGTTGTAATGAAAAGTAAGTAGAGGGCACTCACAGTAGCTTTCGTCTGCTCCTCAAAAAGTGGTGGAGATCCAGTGTTGTATATCCAAAAGTACAACGCGCAAACTTGTAAACGGCATAAAATGTGTTGGCAGAGATGATATCCTTAAAAAGAATGCATGGTTCTCCCGTAGACTCTGTGTAGATTTCAGATAGTGATTGCCGTCACTGGATAAGTGCTCTCCCTTGTATGGATTCTGTGTAGGTCAACCTCCTGATGTTTTAAATGGATATAGAGCAGGGGCAGGTTCAGGCAAGCTGGAGTTTCACCCTGAGAGTGCGTTTATCGCTGATATGGTTTGTCAAAAGGACTTCTCTCTCTCTGAATGCCTTAGGGTATTGTTTAGTCTCTTTTTTGGACAGGGGTGTCCATAGCCGAGGCAGTCCGAGAAAACAGCACGCCAATGCCTTGATGCGTTTCACCCCCCACCGGGGCTTCGTCAGAAGGGCGTTGTTTCACAAAAGTTCAAACCACATCGTTTAAGTACTGCAAATAATCTCTTTAATTAGAGTCAATGAGACATTGCGTACCTGTGTGTCTCCAAGGAGCAGATACCGTTTATCTTATGTCCTATATAGAGGAAAGCCAAGTGCTTTCCTATGTAAATGCTTGTTTGTGTTTTGATACATGTGTCATATAAATTTTAAAATACAAAGTTAGTTTAATAAATTACATTTTATTGACATTATTGCATATTTGGATGAGTGGTGGGATCTCCTCTTTTGGGGAGTTTTTCTTTGTTTAGATTACTAATAGGGGACTCACCACGAGATACTAATTTAGTTACGTAATATACATTTATAACCTTCCTTCCCCATCTATACAATTTCTAATATTAATAAACATTATTAAACAAAGCCCTAAAAGTGGCATTTGCACAGATTGACATGCCATGTACAAACAGTTGTTGTCTGATACTGCAGGAATGTTATTCATGAAGCTAATCAGTATTCTGAGGGCCATCTGTTTCTTTGTTATTGGTGACTGTTACTAAAGACCTATTCCCTTGCCTATTATAAATGCAATTGCATTGCTATTATCGGAATTAACAAAGTCATACTCCACAGATACATTAGGTCAAGTTCTTCAAATATTTGTATATATAAGTGGTCCATTCCTTGTATCCTTACATTCAGGTACAAAATGCATATAGCTTATATATTGCACCCTAATGAAATGTCAGCCCAGTTCTCTAGAAACCCAAATCCTTGTATCCTACATTCAGATGTAAGTCATTTCCAACCCTCACTGCATTATTTTGTTTCCCATGCCATTTCCAATATTTAAAAAATATATATTTTGGAGGTTTTGCTGAACACTGATGACAAGAGTTATAGGAGATGAATACATAAATAAAAGAATACATTAATAAAAGACAACATTTTACTGATGTCCAGTTTTTAATGGTCTTGTTAAGGATGCTCACATTTTCAATTATCTGGTATGATGCTGAACAAAAAGTATTTTAAGGTTATAAATACCATCAAAAGGTCTAGATAGGTCTCCATGCTCTTAAAAATAGCTAATAAGTAATACATTTCAAGGTGAAGGAACCTATTGATTTCAATTGATTTATGCCTTCAGCCTGTCATATGGTCATTGGCCAATATGGTTAAAAATCTTTTAAAATACTGAGATGGCTAATAAAATAGGATCTTTGTTATTATAAACGGGTTTTACAGGAGTAACAAACCAAGGGACTTGCTTACAAATGTGTCAAAAAGAATTACTGTCTATAATGCCCCATGGCAGCCAGCCATCTTCTTTTCTTGATTTTCTACTACTGTAAATATATAATCTAATTGGTTGCTACTGGCAACAAAAGATGTTTTTAACATTAATAAACATTAATAAACAAAGCCCTAAAAGTGGCATTTGCACTGATTGACATGCCATGTACAAACAGTTGTTGTCTGATACTGCAGGAATGTTATTCATGAAGCTAATCAGTATTCTGAGGGCCATCTGTTTCTTTGTTATTGGTGACTGTTACTAAAGACCTATTCCCTTGCCTATTATAAATGCAATTGCATTGCTATTATCGGAATTAACAAAGTCATACTCCACAAATACATTAGGTCAAGTTCTTCAAATATTTGTATATATATAAGTGGTCAATTCCTTGCAGCTTATATTAAAGAAAATAATATAAATTAATTTTACCCTCTAGGACCTGGCCATGATCTTCTCAGGTGCGAAGAATAGCTATATCCAATAAACTGCAAGTTGCAAAATCAAAAGAAGGAAAAGGGAAAATTAGATAAATAGGATCTCTGTTACAATTAAAACAATTGTTCAATTTATTCCTGAAGAGTTCCTTAAGTCTTCCCCCCCTTTCAGAGTAGATCACATGACCAAAAGCCTAGGTTTTTAGTCACATGGTCTACTAAAGGGAAGGAACAGCTAACCTGAATTCTGATACTTACCTGCAATTGAAATTACATGACTAACTGCATAGGTTTTTGAATAATCCAAATACTGCTCACATTCCAAAACCAAGCTTACACCACAATTGCATCCCAGGTGCAGGCAAACAAGCATGCCATCGCCCATAGAAATCTGATCCAGGAAATAGCCACACTCCAAGGGTCTTCACTGAAGATAAAGAAGATACATTTATTTATGGAGCAAATACAAACTGTTTGTGCCTCCCTATGTGTTCTCAACCTCTAACGTGTTTCACCATTCTGGCTTACTCATAGGACTGTTTTAAGTGGCTTACAGCATTATTACATTGCATTAAGTATTAATGCACAATTTAATATTTTTACCTTTTCATTTACAGATACAAGATTGATCTCCACTGAAGGAACATGCATAGAGAAAAGTGAACCAATGGAATTTTTTGTATTTTTACAAAGACTGAAAAATACTTATATGCTGTGTCCTTCCACATTTCAACAAATAAATTATTTGTACGTTTATTTTTAATTATTCATGAAGAAAAAAAAGTATTGACAACATGTTTAAAATCTGGAATCTTTCCAGTTTTTTAAAATGACTGACTGTAAAGTACTATAAGCATAAATTAAAATGAGTGATTTAAAAGATTGTTTTAAGGTGTTCTACTGCAAATATGTAACTTTGTTACATCATTGACTTCTTCAGAAGACACAGTTACATTATTCATTATAAATGGAAATTTGCTAAAATGCATTTGTACCTATGGGAAATTTAAAAAAAAATAGGGAAGGTAGACTTTTTATGTGTAAAATATCAAATTTTTCTAGTACCTTTGCGATTTTCTTTATTTTTGCATATTCACTTTATTTCCATATCAGTTGTTACTCTGAGGTCAGCATGTATTTAGTTATGCCAAAACCCTAATGCTGAACTCTGCTTATAAAAAGCAGCTTATAAAGACACTATTTTAGGCTTCTCCCCATATAGCAAGGATTGAATGCTTGTTTTGTCAAGGGTGAGTAATAGAGAGCAATACTTACCTTACTCCTCGTGTCGCTGGCACCCAGTGCTCTTCTCTGGTCCTGCTCAAGTACCTGAGTATGGTCAGGCCCTCTACATCCTTTATGTACAATGCAGGGCCGCTGATGATGACTGTGCAACAGGCAAAGAGGAGCAGCTATATGGAACCGATTGTTCAGCAGGGAGGAAGCCTGCAGCTGTGAGGAAAAAAGTAAGCAATTCTGCCTTCTCCATGACCTCTAGATTAAATGAGCATTATAGTTTTACTACACTGATGGAGCTACCAAAAGGGGGATTTTATTTTATGTGTTTGGAGTTCAGATATAAGTCTTTTCTGCATCTTGCAAGACGGTTTAATGGCTTAAGACGTTGCCAATTAGACAATGTGAAAAGGTAAAAATCCAAACCTTAAAAAAAATAATGATTGACTTTATATGTGAAAAGATGGTGGATGCATTGTGAATACATTTTATTTTACAATATGATATATGCATATTACAATGGCTTCTGTAATAAAGTTGATTTATCAAGTTCGATGCCACTTACAGTATTGTGATGCTCTGAGATACCGAATATCACCTACACTTTAAAAAGATCCTGTCACAAGTCAAACATTTTGTTTTAAGGTGTAACTCTAGGAAAACATATTTTGTTTTAGTTTTAGAGTGGGGGAAGGATACATCCTCCGTCACGTTTTTCTTGCTGTCTCTCCATTGGAGAGATTTACTCTTCTATTTGTGCTGGTGATCATTGTCATAAATAATGAAATTGTGATGGGAGATACAAACATTTAGAGTTGTCCCCATAACAAGAGGTAAGAGGAAATCTTGAAGTGGAGACAGCTGTTTCAGAGACAACTGTCTAATAGTGGAATTCCCCTCACTTTGTGAGTTTTCCTCTAACTTCCTGTCGCATCTCTAAGATAGGAAGTGAAATTTCCTCAAGGGTGTTAACCCTTCCCTAATCTATCTAAAACTAAAATAAAAAGCTTTGTCTTGCCCTCTCCTGCAGCTCAAGGCACCGTTTGGGAGTGTGCACTGAGAGCAAACTGCTGATCACACATGTTGCTTTTCATTAACCAGGTACCCGCTGCTTAAGGTTAAAGAGTTAAGGGTCACTGTCTTACATAAGGGCCCATTCACACCACATCCAGATAATCTTCAGACCAGACCAGATTGTTTCCGGAACCAAAACGCATCCTAATGTATCCCTATGCTATTTCTGGCCTCTGTTCACACCAGCGCAGTCCGTTCCAGACCAGAAAAAGATGGCATGTCTCATTTTGTCTGGTCTGGAATGCACTGGAACGCATAGAAACGCATGGAACCTGAGAGCCCAATTTTAGCTGCAAAAAACGGAAAACAGCTCCGCAACGCGGTCAAATCACGGCAAATGCACGATGCACTGCATTCCAGATCTGGTCCAGAAAATGGTGTGAACCCAGCCTAAACCTTGTAAACTATCAAACGACTTCGGGATTGATGCTGGGTAGCTGCCATCTTTTTGCTCATGCCATACTTACACAGCCTCTTCTGTCAGAAAAAACTACCCTGTAAGCAATATTTGTAAAAAGAAAACTTTACTTCCACTTAATGTACAGGCTGCAAAAGTATTCTCACCAAGAACCCAGAGTGAACACAAACCCCTTAATTAACTATTATAGACTATTGTGTAGCAGGCCTTCGTTTCCCACATATGCGAGTATCACTCAAGTTACGCAGCAGCAGGGAACACTTATTATAAATAATCGTAAACATCTGGGCCGAGGACAACAGTACAGCTAGAGATCAGATAGGAAAAAAAAATCAGATGACCACAGATCAAATGGGATCTGTAAATAACAAAACAGTCACCATGCAGGAAAGCAATGCTCGAAACCTGCAGCAGGCATTCGGACTGATGAGATTCACTTACAGTTTTTACACACATACACAAGAGGCTTGACACATCCAGTGGTTAGCACTCCAAAAGTGAAGGTGATTGTTGATAATGGACCATAAAGCTTAAATTGGCTCAGGAACACCAAACTGAGCAAACAGAGAATGAGCAATTGATGCTACGATCCACCACCTTAGAGCTGGGCTGTCAGGTGAAGAAAGATGAGCAACATTCAGAAGTCACACAGGAAGAGAGGGCCCATCAGGCAGCAGAAAAAATATCAAGGATCTTGCTTTCACGTTCCGAATCTGTCCACCCAATCCAAGGCTGAAAAGTAAGTTTCTTCCTTGGCAGTCATATGTACAGTAATTGGGCACAGTAAACCATGGAATAATGAAGGTGCAGCTTTTTGACATCCTGAAATCTGCATTTTTTGAAACTTTGTGAAAAAGCATTATTTTAGATCCATTCAGGCGTATACCTTATAAATTCCCTTGCTTTGCAAAGAATATTGTCCTGGTCATCATATTGCAATAGACGTACCAGAATTTGCGAGGAGTGTCCTCATGCGGAAGAGGGCAGGCGGGAACACTGTGTGCCAAATCAACAGCAAAGAAGGGTGACTGGGCCTCTGTTCTTGAAGTATCAAGCAGCCATTTCTCAATAAAAAATGTGATATTAAAGCGCTCATAGTTTTTTGGGAATGCCAACAATTCTCACATTCAGCCTGCTCTCAAGATCCAGTTTAGATATTAGCTGTAGCCCGGCCGAGGGCCACCTTAACATAACTATGAACTGTAGAAAATATGTCTTCAAAGTCACTAACCCAAGAGCAGTGGTACACTTTTTAGATTTCTGCAGTGAAATGTCTGCTCTCATGCTATACTGCATATTTTAGGAGTAAGACTGGCTAGGGAAGTATTGCAGAGCTGTACCACATAATAAATATTCTTTAAAAAAGGTTCAAGGACAGAGCTCTGCTCTGAGGATGATTGTGAGTTATCCAGGAAAGTGTTAGCAATACTCACAGTGCAGACACTATCTACAGCACTTGTACAGAAGTCTCCAGCAAGGGTGCAGGAGAGGAGTTATGATCCGCAGTATCAGTCTTAGTCAATTTAGCAAAGGGCTCTGTCTCCCCCTGTGCCCTTTCCCACTACGGTTTCTGGCACTCTTGTGGCCCACTGTCAGGCTGCCCAACCACGTCTTCTTGGGCGTAGCTCATTGTCCCCAAAGTGGTGCCTAAGGGTGCAGAAAGGGAGCAGCAAGAGCAAATGGCTCTGAGCATCCTCTGAAGCAGATGTGCTGAACAAATCACAGGATCACCAGCAGGAGCTCTTTCACACACTTCCTCTCACATGCGCTGTAGGCCATGCCTCTGTACAGAGCAACTTTAAAAAAAAAAAAGACTGTGTACCAGATTGGAATATTAAAGTAAATTGATGTTCACTGGGCTAGAGTAAATCAACTCCTGACACTTAGATGTTACCCTCTTTTAAATATGCCGATCTGCCCACACATGTTATCAATAGAAAATATTTGTGTTAACATTTAGTAATGACTTGGCAGTAGAACATACAGTTATGTTAGAAACCTATAATTAAAAACCATTTTTTTTTGTTGAAAAAGTTACATGACGAAACGCGTCAAAAAGGTAGATTCAACTGCACACGAGGAGTCCTCTTAGATCGATCCAGAGCTGCTGTGCCGGCCGGTTTTTATACTTCCAGATGTAAGCTACTATGTTTTAATAAAATTTATACTGTTTTTACATACTGCACCATGAGGTCTTTTTGCTTTTAAACCCTCATAACCCTGTTGATTCCGGAGAGAAAGTTCGTTAGTACTACGCTTAGGCTAAGCGGTCCCTGGGTCTGAAAGACAGCTCCAGCACTACAGCCGGAAAACATCTCTCCTACTGCCCGATTCTAACGCGGGAAGAATATACTCGAAGGCAGGACGGGATCGGATACCATATCGTCAAGACCCTGATATCTGTGCATATCCACCGTAACCCGGTGAGTACCCATTACTAAGGGGGCTGTCGGACTAAGGAGATAGGAACCAACAATCATCCTTCTTCTGCCCCCCCCCTTTCTCCTGTTTTTACATTGCCTATTTTTTGAAATCTACTCTTCATATCGCTCATTGAACATTGCTGTCTCTGGCATCGCCTTCACTTATTTAAAGAAATAATTCAAGATCAATATAGATCACTGAATGCTATTCTTCCGATTTTTTGGATTATGAAATTTTTGTCAGATCTTTTTAAAAAAAACTGTCACAGATTATCCACTGTAATCTTTTTGAGACGTTTTTTCTGATACTGTGTTATATTTATTAGCTATAGGCAACACTTAACCTTCAGTTAATTGCTCACTCATGTTGTTCACACATTGATACAATCCATCTTTCTCGTTTACTTTTTATGATTGTTTCTAATACACATCATTTATACATTGATATACATTGATCACTTAACCCAATCTGTGAACATTTACACACATTTTGTTGACTCCATCTCTAGCGCTGTGTTACAAATACTCTATCCAATTAAAAACCATTATTGACTCAGTAGATTAGTTTCTGACAGCTGAAAAGCCAAAGGTTATCCTAACATTTAACTGTCTACAGAGAGGAAGATACCAGTTATAAACAATAGAGCAGAGTACAATAAAAAGGTAAAACATGGATATTTTTAATTAAAGAGGAACTCCAACCAGAACAGTGTTTGGTTTGTAAAAGCCAAGCTTGGCCATACTCGGTCCGGAGCCTACCTCTTTGCCAATGATGGCATTTATCA